TATAAACAAAAAAGATTACTAGAAACTAAAAAAATAAATAAAACACAATGAAATAATGAAATACAAACCTTCAAAATGTGTGCAGATTTATAGCTTGATCCTGTGAAATAATAACTGGCAGGCTATTAAATTGCTTAGAAAATGAGATATGTTATATTCTGCATAATGGAACTTGCATAACAATGAAAAGTCCTTGCTAAGGAATGGCTCTGTTTTGCTCATGTTCACTCTTTCCTACTGTATATAAACCCTTGGATTGATAGCATGCTCACGTTCTTTATATAGCCCTATGAACTGATTAAGCTAAGCACAAGACTCAGGGTATAAAGTTGCTAAATAGTTTACCAGATCATTTGTCACTTTGCTGTAAGACCATAGACAGATCTGTTTCTGGATTTTAAACCCCAACCACCCCCTCCCCTAAAGGGAGTCTATTGCTTAATGTTGATAAGATCATTTAATTTGTGTTGATCTTCAAATTTTAAAGCACAGTACAAATGTAGAAACAAAGTTTAAAAGCAGTGAAGGAAAAGGAAAGTGAAGATCACTGTTGAGCAAAGACTCTGTTGGATGAAAATCAAGCTTTCTTTATAGTTTTCTACTTTATCTTTGACAGTGCCACTCACTGGTGGTAATTTTGATACAATCCATTTTGCCAAAAACATTTGTTGAGGTTTCACTATGTGTCTGGTGCTGTTATAAAAGCTTAATGTATTAACTCATATAAGTTCATGAATTTACAGAGAGAATGTTATTATGAATCTCTTTTTGCAAACAAGGAAATAGAGGTAACAGAGATATCTCACTGCAGGTCATAGCTAAGAAATTAAGAGTCTAGATTTTGCCCCAGGCAGTTTGATTCAGGCAAGATCAACTCTAAGGCGAAATTAGAAATATTCTAGGAAGACCATTTATTCAAATGTTTTTTGTGGATCAACACTCTCCTAAGCATTTTGTACATAATAACTATTAGTTACGAAAACCTATTAAATAATTATCATTGACCAATTTTGAAGATAAAATTTAATTAGAAGTATAGTAACTTGCTTATTGTCATATGAGCAATAAATAGTGCATACAGAATTAGTCTACCTGACTCCAAAGCCCATGCTACTGACAAGGAGAATATATGACCTCATTTTGGTATCTGACAACATTGTGAGATATATCAAATAGAGAAATCACAGTTATTTACCCATACCAAACTTCTTTTGCATTTCAAAAATCATGTAGACTGCTTTTGCACAATAAATGGGGAATCAGGCAAATGTTCTCAGAATGAAAATAGACAGCTTATTTAAACTCTGAATTCACAACCAAGCCTCAGAGTTTTAAGACACCTCTACCCACCTGAACTTTTTTGGCAGGAAGAAGAGCCCTGGGAATCTATTGAAATCTCCAGGCAAAGTTTCCTGTGCATAGGCACTTCAAAAAGGGGATAGGAAAGGGCAGAGGTAAAAACATTTTAAAAAAATTATGCCAGCCAAAGCATTCTGCTGAATGCAAAAAATATTAAACATGTCTTCACATATGGTCAAGTGTTAATGACTCCAAGAAATAGGACAATCATCATGTAACCAGTGTACCTCTCTTAACTTTGACTAAAGTGGTCACTTTATCCCTACTACTTTTTACCTGCATTCTGCAATTTAAGTAGACATCAATTCTATCATTTATAGTAAGTTCTTCCTGGCTGTTGCCCATTGTGTAAGAGCCTTTTTAATATTATTATGTTATTATTTTTTGTAATTTTCAGATTAAAGGAACACACACAAAAATTTATTCATAAATTAATTGGTTAGCTAGACCAATGATACAAGGCTGATTATAAAAGAAATAATATTATTAATCAAGTTTAAATCTCAGAAATCAAATGGAACATAATCAATTGCTAATAAATCAGCAATATTGTTATTTAGAAAGGATTTTTAAAAAATTGATGTTCATCTGTACATATATGCAGAAGCTTGCCTTGTGATTCAGTTTTTAATAACTGTCCCTATGCAATTGATCAAAGTACCCTTAGTTCATTACTTTAGAATTCTTGGGTGATATCAGTTTCTTTCACAATCAATCCGTTTTCAAGTTAAGTAACTTTGATCATTTTCTAAGACATGGACATCTCCTCTTCCTGTATCTGCATGTAGAAAATAAATTATTTCTCCTCTTTTAAAAGCAAACAAACAAACAAAACCTTTTTCTGAGTAGATTTCTAGCAGGGAACTAACTCTGTGAATCATAATTGCTACCGTACACTATGCAGCTGAATTTGACCTTTTATAGAAGAAACAAAAAAAGGAATGAGAACACCATGGTTTTCTTTCTTTATTCCCATAGCAGACTTAATGCCCATCTCTGATTAAAATTATATTTGTCAAAGACCCTCATACAGCAAAATTATTTTAGTATGCATTCCTTGAAAGATAATTAAATAGCAAACTACAAAAACATGTTTCTATATATTTGGATAATTTATCAACTGCATTCAAGATATATGGGAATATTCATAAAAAATTAATTCCTGATTGAAAATCTAATGCTTATCCAGAAAGGAGGCATTTGAACTTGGTAGTAAGTCCTTTCTTCATTTGAGCACCAGGATCTGCCTTAGATTTTTTTTCCTCTTCAATCACTTCATCTTTCCTTTATTGTTGATACATTTTTTCAATGCCTGCTTAAATATCAGTTTTTCTGGGATGCCATTCCTAGTTCTCTTTCATTTTTTTCCAAATTTCACTTGTAAAGTGATAATAATATTGTAATAGTGTTTAATTTACAGAGTAGTCATGAGGATTACATGGGATTATATGTGTAGAGTGCTTCATGTGATGCTTACACATAGTGGGCACATTATAAATGTTCAGTATTGATATGGAGCAGGTTAATTGTTCCAGACACCTTCCTAAAGAACCTTATTGATACTATTGTCCAGTGAGCAAAGTACCACTAATTAATAGATAACAACCATGCCTGAATTTCTAGACTACAAATGTCTCTAGGTTTCAAATAAATATATACAATGACCAACTAGACCTCGCCATTTAGATTCCTAAGCCACACACCTCAGAATGCTAGAAATAGAGGTTTTCATATCTACCAAATCAAATGCAATTGAACTCCTTTCAGAAATTTGGGAGTTACCCCCAGACTGCCCCTCTCTAACATCATATATCTAATTATTTTCCTAGTACTGTGGATTCAACCTCCTAAATATATGCCATATCCATTCCCTTCTTCAGTAAATTATGCCATTGGTGTAACTCAAGAACTTATCAATTCTTCCTTGGATGACTGCTGCTGCTTTCTTTGTAGATTGGTTTCTTAGGCTCAGTTCTGCTGAGAGCCACGGCTGAGTCTGTATGGCCCCTGTCATTTTGCCAACAGTATTGATTGACAGGCGAGGCATTACTATCCGCCTCTGCCGCAACTTTTGAGTTCTCGCACTATTTTGGAGTTCTCCTGGGGATTTCCGGGGATTCCCCGAGAGTTCCCATTGGTTGGGGAAGTGCAGGAGGAGGGATTTCCGGGAGAGATATTTCCGGCTGGGGGTTCCTGGACAAGCCTCGTGG